AGAAAATGACAGAGTGTCATTCAGGCTTATGTTAGTGTAACTCAAAAGTCCCTGTTTCTTTTATTGCAATTTCCAGTATGGGTTTAGAGAATGCAAAGAATTGTCTCTCTCCCTTTTCTGGGTTTGGGGAAAAATCTCTCTTGAACACTACCCTTAAAAATAGTTATATGAGGCTCTGAATTTGGGCTAAGATTGGTCCCAGGCAGTATTGTTGGGATGACACACTTGGCAGCAAATGACCTTGCATAAGGTACATCCCCCTTCCCCTCAGCCCGCTGTTCTACCTTTTTAAATCATGCATCCTCTTCTCAATCCAGCATTTTACTGAATAGTGTGGTTCCTATTTGTGTGAATGAATACATTCATTCATTCCTTCATTCAGTTTACAATTATTTATTTTTAAAATCAACTCTCATAATTTATCACCTGTCATGTATCAACCCTTATAGGAGGATGAATGAATGAAGAATGTTTGCCACATCAAAAGGGCAGCTCTGATCCCATTATAGTGTACAACTTCTTCCTGGAAGCAGACTGACTAATGATAGATTAATATCCAGTAATAGCAGTTCCACAAAGTTAATCATTTTAACTAGCATTTCCAGTTTGGCATCATAACTGAAGACAATATTTTGGGAGAGTAAAATATCACCATCAGTTGTTAATTTTGTTCAATAGACAATCTGTCCTGTGTAATAGAAGATCTGGAAAATGGCTAGTCAGCTAACGAGTGCTTTTAAAATCAATCAGCAAGTATTTGAATGGCTAATCCCAGACTCTTTGCTAGGGGCTCCGCAAGGTACAATTTTGGATTCTTTTCTCCTCTTCTCCCTCTATACTTTCCTCATTAATGACCTTGCCTCCCAGAACATCTATTCAGATAACTCCTAAGTCTGTCAACTCCAATACTTATCTTTTTTTAAACCCCAGGACTATATTTCCAGATGCTACCAGATATCATATTATAATAATGCCCAAAACTCAACGTATTAAGACAACAATGTTATTTCCCTGTCTTAGAGATATCGTTTTACCATTTATGAGGATTTGGGGGGGGCAAAGACTGGAGAGATCAGGAAAGACATTTAGTCTATTTAGTAATCCAACCTTGAAGTACATAATATTTGACTTTGAGTGGTAAGTGTAGAAAATAAAGGACAATTCCAAGAAATTCTTCAGGTTAAAACATTGTCCAGGATTGGCATTAAATAACATTGTGTATACTTTGATTTGAATATCACTCTAAGATTTGGAATCGTAATAATATAGCATCATTGTTAGTTAAGATACACTATTTGACACCTGAGAAGATGGTCAACAAAATTCATTTAAATGCTAATAACATTTTTTGGTAACAGCCAAGCAATATTTTTCACTTGCGAAGTTAGTACCCTTTACTCTACCCTCTCACAACTCTAAAGCCAGAGACTGAAAAAGATGGAAGTAATATGAATGGATCATTTATTTGGCTCTGGTCTAATCATCAAAACAAGACTGCTTTGCAGGATTTCCCCTATTTACAGATGGGAAAACTTAAGACCAGAAAATTAGGCAGACTATTTTCATACAGTCAGATCACATGAAAGTTTCTGAATTCAGTCTTGTTTGATTGAAGTTGATACCCAGCTGTACCTACCTGCCCCTGCTGCCTTAGTAGCTTACTGGAGTGTAAGTAACAGCAGATCAGGGGAAGCAAATTCATCTACCCTCATTCCCGGAATCAAAACAACCAAACAATAAACCATACCACATCAGCACCTCCTTCTTTGTTAATTAATGCCAACATTGTTCTACCTACCAAAAGTCTTATAACCTTGGAGCCATCTTTGACTTTTTCTTCCTATAACTGATCAGTTGCTAAGTCCCATTGGTTCTTTCTTAATTATATATCTTGTATCCGTCTTTTCCTTTCTCTTCCTACTGTCAACATTCTACCTCATTGCCTGTTTCTCAGGCCATTTTGATAACTTACTGATGGTCTCCTTGCCACTAATCTCTTCTTTGACCAGTCATAGCTGCTGCTCCTAATAAGACTCAAGAGGCAGTGTGGTATAGTGGTTGATAGTCTGCGATCTGCAGCCCGGAGGCCTGAGTTCAAATCTTCAGATCTGCAACATAGAAATTTGGCTTTGTGCAAGTTACTTAGTATTTCTGTGCTTCACTTTCCTCATCTTTAGAATGAGAATAAAGATAATAGCCTTTTCCTGAGGATTATTTTGAGAATCATTCAGTTAATACATATATAATACATATGTAGAAAGATTTCTGGCACAAAGTATTCAGTAAATGTTTTTCACTATTATTACTGTTACTATTATCATTAAAATACACTTTTAGTTACATTATTTCAGTTGGAGTTGGTATTAAAAAAAAAAATCACATCCATGCCCTTTGAGTTTGTAGGCCAAGGATTAAAATACAAAGCCTAGAAAGGATAAAAATATCAATGAAGACACTGGTATTAGAACTGAAACAAGACTAAAAGCTCACACATGCCTAAGAGTTATGTTCCTTATCGATCTGGGACCAACAGCACCCTGTTAACCCGGGCCCCTACAAGATCTAGAAAGCATGGCCAGGAGTGCAGGTACATGGTGACTACTATCAGGGAGACTACAAAACTGCTCCCTAAACATATAGAAAACATGATTCTGTGCTAGTAATGGGCAGGTACCAGTAAAAGGAAAGGAAAAATAAAATGGGGAGGGATTTGGAGACAGTGGTAGAGGCAGAAATAAAGGCAGAAAAATACATATAGGAACTCAGATTCCCACACAAACATACACAAAGAGACCTGCTTGTTCTTGGTGACATAGACTTTGCTGGGATTAGCTTCCAGTTCTGTGGCCTTTACCTGCATTCTTAAGATACTTTAGTCCAAATTGTGTGCCTAGGTATCTATGTCATATATGCCTAACCTATAAACCTTTTCTCACCCTATTCTCTTTACCCCTTCCTTCTGGCCTCAGTTCTGTGTGTGCTTATTTACACACACACACACACACACACACACACACACACACCCGTGTGTGTCTGTCTGTCTGTCTGTCTCTCTCTCTCTTTTACACATGCACACACATACATTTATATTTTCATTTGTATTCCCTCTACTGTGAAGCCTTCATTAAACATTGTAGTCATAAACTTTAAACATAAGAGTTTAAAGTTTTTTCTTCTTCTGGTGAACATCTCCAGAACTTAATTTCTGTTTCTCTATCTAAAATCATGTGCTGGTTTTTCATTAGCTATAGTTTTCAACTGCCTGTGTTATGAGCTTCAGACTATATTGTGAGTTTTTTGTGAATAGTGTATAATTTCACTTATTATATAATTGGTGTACAATTTGTATAATAATACCCTGACTATATAAAAAAAGCTGGTTATAAGTGATTAAACCTGCATAAATATAGTAACAAGTGGATATTTCCAGCATACTTTTATATATGCCTGTGAAAAGCACGAAAGCATATAGAAGGATTAGTAGAAGGCAAAGGTTCATATTTAGAGAGGCAAATGTTCATGGTTAATGTGCAAGTTGATTTCAAAGAAAGATAATAAACTATGTCTTACTTCTGTATTAGAGCAGATACGATCTACCCAATAGCTCATTTGCTACTTTTAAAGGGTACTTTGTGGTTTAAAGACTTTTCTTGTCTGGGCGCGGTGGCTCACGCCTGTAATCCTAGCACTCTGGGAGGCCGAGGTGGGCGGATCGCTCAAGGTCAGGAGTTCGAGACCAGCCTAAGCAAGAGCGAGACCCCGTCTCTACTAAAAATAGAAAGAAATTATCTGGACAACTAAATATATATATATATAAAAAATTAGCCAGGCATGGTGGCGCATGCCTGTAGTCCCAGCTACTCGGGAGGCTGAGGCAGGAGGATCGCTTGAGCCCAGGAGTTTGAGGTTGCTGTGAGCTAGGCTGACGCCATGACACTCTAGCCAGGGCAACAAAGTGAGACTCTGTCTCAAAAAAATTAAATAAATAAATAAAAATAAATACTTTTCTTTATGTTTCCAAATTCTCTTCATGTTATCTGCAGGTATCTTAGTACCTAACCTGTGCCTAGCATTTGTATTTAAGAAAGTAAGCTTTACATGCAAAAACAAATAAAATTGTTAATACTTTCTTTTCACTGTGTGTATGTGTCTCCATCCTCCCCCCACCTCCCACCTCTCTCCCAGAATGCCTTTGGTGAATGAAAACTAGTTAAATAATTTGGGGGCTATAAGAAATTAAAAACTAAAAATAATTATTATCATAGGAGCTATACCAAAGGGAATATAAAATGTGCACCAATACTATGAAACAAGTAATTAAAAGCAAAGTTGAACTGTTTTGAAGAAACCAATATAGAATTCTTGAATAAAGTATTTGAAAGTAAGTTCATGTGATTTTACCATAACCTAATTATTTAATATCCACATCTGTCAAGTGGGTGAAATTCTTTAGAGTGTATATAAATATTTAATATATTTTATGAATAGAAATCACAGGTTTAAAAATTATTAAATGCTCAATCAGAGCTAGTCCTCTGATTTCAAACAGCATAGTAATAGGTAATTTCTTAGGAAATGTTCCACTTATATTTTCTATCATCATGTACATCTTTTATCTGTGGCCCAACTATTCACTTAACTCAATTTCATGTTTATAAATTTTCCTAGTTCACCTCAGGGACAGATTTTGGCAGTTTGAATGTTATCGATGGCTAACAATTATGCAGTTAACATATAGCAACTGTTCAGCTTCAATAATATTAATACTAGAAGGATGATTTGATTTATTTTTAAAAAACTGAACAGCCAACTTTTTAAAATTTTGATGAAATATTTCTTTGGAATGTTTAAAACAAAGAAAAATGATATTTTTTTAAACCCAGGTAGAATTTGTTTTATGTAGAAATTTTACAATATTGTCTATGAAATTATCCCCCACTAAGGCAATAAAACATCAGGCTTTAAATGCATTTTCTCATAGAGCATTCCTTATCTTACAGATCAGCTCAGTGAAAATGTTACGGCCTCGTCTCAATAGCATTCTTTTCAAGCTCATGTTTGAAGAACATGTAAACAACATCAAACCAAGCATCATAGCAGTAACTCTTGCCTGTGAAGAACTGAAGAAAAGTGAAAGCTTTAACAGACTTTTAGAATTAGTTCTTTTGGTTGGAAACTACATGAACTCAGGCTCAAGAAATGCCCAGTCTTTGGGTTTTAAGATCAATTTCCTTTGCAAGGTAAGATGACATTTATAATGATAATTTATAAAATCTTCTTGTCTATGAGAGGGTTACTCTGAAAAGCAATAGTACATAAACCACAAAATTGTACACTTTAAAAGGATGAATTTTGTGGTATGTGAAATATATCTCAATTAAATAACTTTTTAAAATCTTATTTTAGTAAAATCCAAAAGACTATGCAAATTCTTTTGCAGTATAATACTCAACTCTTGCTGATTAAATTTTACTGGAGTTCATAGACCAAATCAAAATTTGCTTTTACAAAATAGATGCAACATTGTATTTCAATCCTTTTATGCTTATTCTATGTCTCTCCAAAAAGTATTTGAGGAGCTAAATTCAATGAAGTAAATAGCTGGAAATTTATTTTTTAATATTCTTTGCCTATTCTATTCTAAGCAAGTAATACTCTTCATTGTTGATTAATGTTGTGTCACTAAGCTTACACTGGTATCTGGCATATTACCTGAAAGCTAAAAAGATTCAAGTGGTAATCATCTTAGTGTTTTGATTGGGCCATTGCATAGTATTATTTTTGAGACTTAATTCTTACGAAAAGTAAACAAAGAAACAGAGAAGCACCAAAGTGATTGCACATACCCATTTCTAGGCTAGAGCAAACCACCTTATTCAAGAAAAAGATCTGTATATTACAAGGAGAAACCTGAACAGATTCTGAGGTGAAGGCCTGTAAGAAAGCTAGAGACAAAAATAAATCTGAAAACGAGTAATCTGTCTTTGACGTCTCAGCATTCTTTCACTTTTTTTTCTCTCACATCTGAAAATGTTGTAGAACTTTGGTTAGTTCTTGAAGTATATTATAACAAGAATCCCAAATGTAGGAGTGGATATGAATTTCTTTTCTATTCATGCATTAAATAAATGTGCATTGTATATACATGGACTAGCACTTTAATATGTATCAAAAATGATTTGATCCTGGTATTTCTAACCCAGATAGACATAAAGAAAAACATTTATAGATACTAGGATGTATAAATGGAATTGTGAGTATCTGTTTACTTGTGATATATTTTTGAAGGGTATAGGGAAAATTATTTGGAAACATTAGATTTGTCAAAGAAATATTTTTGTTCCCTCTTCTTGTGATATTTGTGGTCATGTGAAATTATTTTATAATGCCAGAAAGAATAAGACAATCCTTATGATAAATTGGAATAAGTCATTGCCAGATTTATAGGATAAAACTACTTAGAACGTTTTCATTGGATAGCATGCCATATACCCAATGCTAATAAAGTCATTTCTTACCAAGATGTTACTTAGTTAGAGTATACACTATATGCACAGTGAGTGAATCTAAAAGTGTTCTTGCTTGATGATTATAAAAATATTATAAATTAAAAGAAAATATTGTAGAAATTTATATTAGATAACTATTTCACATTTAATTCATATAAAAAGATACGTTAAACAAACCATCCTAATTTGAACAAATATGTACCTTTATTTGTAAGTGTCGTAATTTCACACTGTTCACATTAATTACATGAACTGATTCTTTGAAGCAAGAATGAATAAGTCATTTGTACACAGGAACAAAAGATTACATTAACCTCACAGAGGATTTTATAGTTACATCTTATATTTTGGAGAGAGCCTTCTTCCTGTCATCTACCTGTCAAATAAAAGTTCTTCCACACAACGCTGATCTGACATCTATCACTAGAGGTATGCTCAAAGGATTCAGCACAAAGATTTTTGCCAACTTCAAATAAAATAAAAAATAATCTTGTGGGAAATACTATCATGTAGTAATAGGTATTCCAAAAGAGAAAGAAGTGAAGGTTTTAAAATCTTTTCCCCCTCACTTTTCAGTAGGATTTTTATCTTCTGGGAAACACTTCTAGGAAAGTGCTTGTCATTAAGAAAGAAAAATATCATACACATGTATGATATTCCCATAATGTCTAGGATTAAAAGGATGTTCCTGGAATACAAAGGATTCTGACCAGATGTAAATGTCTAAAATGACAGAAATTTACTGAAGTACATAGAAATAGTTAGCTTAGGTCTGTAATCTGTTTGAAACAGAATTAACTAACTACTGATGTATGATTAGCTAGAATTGCTGTTAAATTTCAGTTATATTATAAAAGATTACTTCATTGATTTTTCATGGTGACTTTTTCTTAAAGAAAATAGCAGGTGGAATTTCCCTTGTAGAACACTGATTCTGCTTTAAAAATGATACCATTTACTCACCTAAATTTTTGTAATGATAATTTCCTGTCTCCGTGATTTTAAAACTGTAATCCACTGCTTTTCACAAGAAGCTCTAGACTATGTTGAAATATTCAGCTAGTTAAAAAGGAGCCATGGTATAAGCAGTTCAACTTATCAGATGTATCTTGTAGTAATGTATTGTAAAAAATTCAGATGGCCACAATTGGCTGCTATAATATTTGGGAAGAAAAGGAAAACAGATGGGTTAACCAAAATGTCAACACTAAAGAGTATCATTACTGTAACTACTGCCCTCACTACAAAATGCTGTGTTAATTTGCAGCAGTGAATTATCACTTTGTGAGTTACCAAACCAGTGTCCTGAACTGTAATGAAAATAATTTCAATGAAGATGAGTTCCCAATGTTAGTTTGGCCTGTGCTTGCCTGTTGGTTATTAAAATTCTAACCAGTGGAAGTGCTGTACTTCAAGGTCATTTGTTATTTTTGTTTTCAGTATGTAATAGTATATATAATCTGTGTAAGAACAAAATATTTAAAAATACTGAGCATTCTCTGTGCACTAAGCTTTGTGGGTGTATCAGATAAGGATCTTTGTTTGCAAGCATCAGGAAGTGACTATGCCTGATTTAAGCAAAAAGTGAAATTTGTTGGAAGGATATGAGGTAGCTCAGCCAAAAACTGAGGAAAGGCTGAGGAACTTGGCCTTCTAAAGAACAGTAACTGTGACAGCTTTGAGAATTCAGGTAGCAGGAATGAATGGCAAGTCTTTTCAGGAATGTGTCAGCTCCAACCATTTTTCTCCTCTTGTGTTTGATTCAAATTATAGCTAGAGAGCCTGATGAGCCTAGTGTAGGTTATAAGAACACCCCATGTTCAAGTGAGGGCAAACAACTTTGATAGTGCTACCAAGGCTATTGCAATAGAAGATTGGTTATGCCCTAAAGGATGCTGTTACCAAAGATAGGGATACAAAAGGTTAGGGGCAGGTGAAGGGGTATCAAGCAGACACAAAGACAAAACAAAACAGATGGTCTATATACAAACAGTACAGAAGATACACAGAAACCTTACTAAGCTTGTGGTACAGTTGAGCAGCCAGGAAATATACATTCAGAATATTAGGTAATGTCCCAATGTACACTGTTAATGACTGCAGAAATTAATGACCAAATGAGATTAGCAGAAGTTCAGAAGAGGGAGATTAGTAGGAGTTAAGAGAATGGAGGAATCTTCAGTGATTGCGTGGTGCTGTTAAATTGAAAGACAGCTAGGATTGGGGTATGTGAAAAGAAGAAGACCTATGAGAGGGGAGAACACTGTGGGCTTGGAGCCTACATTTTAGCTTACACTTTGCCAATTATTAGCCAAATTCTCATGACTGAGTCACTTACCCTCTCTGAACCTCAGTTTCCTCATCTGTAAGCGAGGAAATACACTGACTCTTGTTTATTTTCATAGGGTTGTTTTCAGGGTCAGCTAAAATGATCTATGTTAGAGTACATAGAAAAATTGTAATGTTAAACAAATGGTAGTATTCTACTTAATGATGGTACATAACTAGGAATAACATGATACATTTGAGGATGAATTAGAAAACCACACTGTCTGTAATATTGGATTCCTGTTGGAAACAAGTAATAACAGTGGTAGGCAGGTTGTGAGAAGATTTTGAGTTATTTGTACATTAGTTTGGGTATCTTGCTTCCATAACTTTTTAAAAAATCATTTACAGCCCACTTAATGACTTTCAAAAGCCGGAAACCTTCTTTTTCATGTACTGAGCAAAAGCTTTTTTTTCCTGCCTTGAGTTAATATATGACTATATAACTACATGTGCTATGACTTTCTAGTCATTCTAGGACGGAGAGAGACAACAAATTGTGACACAATAGGGTGATATGCTTATGTAGAGATATGAAATATATCATAAAAAGACCCTAAAGAAAACGTGTAGGTTCACTCTGTTGGAAATTTAGATATCTCACTTTAAGTTATTAGGATTAACATGATAATATAATTGTGCCTTTTCTAACATTCATCATTTATGTAGAGTGTCTTTAACATGTAAAGGCCTCATATTCTATAGGCCATCACATTGTATTAGTGACAGAGTATTATAGATGTCACCCCAGATATACAAAGGAAAATATCGTCTCCCATATAGAAGTTGTAAGAAGGGAAATAAAATAGATTCAGCTTCATTATTAAATAGATTACTTACCAGAAAATACGATTTTAAAGAAAAGTAACTGCTGTCTATGGCAATAAAATTTGGAAATCTGTAATCCAGGAGAAAATCTACAAAAGAGCTAAGGAAAAAAGTCATATGTAAGTATACCAAGAATTTCATAGTGTCTAATCATTTTTAGCTGAAATGATGTGGATTGTGTCCATATAAAGCTAGAATCCTAGCATATGAAGACATCTAGCCTAGTCTCTTTAGTGTACAGTGAGAAAACTAATGATCAGAGATGCAAAATACTACTGTGAGTGTATTGATCAGCTTGGGCTGCCATAACCAAATACTATATGCTGAGTGGCTTAAATAAGAGAAATGTATTTTTTCATAGTTTTGAGAATTGAAAGTCCAAGATCAAGGTGCCAGTAGCATTCTGGTGTGGTCTCTCTCCTTAGGTTGCGTACGGCCACCTTTTCACTGTGTCCTCACATATCTTTAATTTACTACATTATTTTTCTTTCTCCTTCAAAAGACTGAGCACTCATAAAATTTGGATGTATTTTTTATTCTTCAGTATATCCCTGATGTCAGTTGTATATGAATCC